GGGCCACCTTTGCGCGCCCGTGGGCCCCTCTGGTGGCCTCTGTGTGAACGTTCAGGCGGCGCCTCTGAAGCCGCAGCTGCGGGTTCTCGATGTTGCAGGGAGAAGGGCCCGGTTCGCTACGCAAACCTCATGTACGACCGGAGAGTGGTGCGCGGCAACACCTACGCGCTGCAGGTCCTGCCGGGGGTATGTGAGCTGCTCTTGGGGGTTGTACCACAACTTCCCGATGCAAATGTATTGATGCTGTAAACTTATATATATATAAAATATTTCATCCAGTCAAGGCTTTCCAGTTAAGTTATCACAGTGGTTTCCTGCTTGTATTTAAAAGACTGACGTTCCTGATGAACTTTGCAGTTTCGGTGGGATTTTTTCTTCAAGTGATTTTTTTCCCTATTTCTTTACTGTCATTATATTGAGCAAAAGCCATCACTGTGTAGTTTGCTACCGTATTTTTTCACAGATATCATCAGGGAAGATAGCAGCCCTTGGGGAAATTAAGCTTTTGAGTGAATTTGAGCTTGCACTGCTGTAGAAGCAGAGCCACAGGGAGCATAAGCCCAGTTGTATGCAGAAGTTGCTTGTGAGCAGCAAAGGTGTGTTGTTCCTCCTCATACAGTAAGTGTTTTAGTGATAATTGTTTTCAGAGAACATTTCTTGACAAGCAAATGGATCATATAAGAATTGAAAACAGCTATGTATTATAAAAAGCAACTTTTGGGAAATCGTTGGGTTGTTCTGTGACTGGTTCTTACTGTAAATTTCACATCTTTTCTGTTTAAAAAGTTCAAAAGTGATTTTTCTGTTCAATCCATAGACAGTTTTAGAGTTACACTGGGTTTCTTCTGCTTTATCCTTAATCAGCAAGAAAGTTTCTGTTTTTTCAGTCTTATGGGCAATTTAGTTGAAAGTACTAAAGTCGGACTTAAGGCTATCTGACATTTTAAAAGCTTCACTAGAAACTCTCAACTTGGGTGTGAGCAAGAACATGCTGTTTTGATATACTTTATCTTACAAGTAGAGTTCTGTATATAACACTATTTCCAAATAGCGATTGACTTCTGTTAGCGTGAGCTCCTGTTATTACATGCCTGCAGGTAACTGACAATTTAGATTCAGGACTCTAAAAAGCTATTCTGAAATCATAGACCTGTAGGATTTAAAGAGGAAAAGTCTTCATTTACCTGTAGAGGTTAATTAGTAATATTTCTATATGTGAAGCTTATATTGACCTCTTTTCTTTTTCTTTTTCCCCCTTCATACTCCCTACCTAGAGTACCCAGCCAGATCCTCTTGAAATTCAAAGGCAGAGAGAAGCACGGAGAAGAGCATTGTCCAGAAAACGAGCCAAAGAGCAGATGCAGCCAAGAACACCTGAGCCTGTGGAAGGCAGAGAGCATGTTCATGTGCAGACAGGTAAAGGCTGAAGAGATTTAAATTTAATTAGAAAATAAAAACATGCTGATTCATATTGATCAACTAAATTCATGATGCAGTTGGTAACATCACCCAGAGTTACAGTTTTCTTATTCTTTTGCTTAAACCTCTTATTGTTAATTGTATTTATTATCAAATAAATGTACTAGTTAGAGTGAGATTGTTCAATTTAAATTGAACATTCTTGAACATATGCCAAGACTTCTTCATTTCCTTTTTTTTTTTAATGAGTATCATCAGAGATGTTTGATATATGTCTCAAATTAATATTGTGGGGTGGGCTTTTTTTGTTTAATTATTATTTTTGTGTAAGGATGCAATCATAATTAAGAACAAGACTACTATTAAAATTTACCCAAAAAAAGTCTAATCTAGAAAAAGGAACTAGCTCCCCTATCTTTATAGCAAAATGATGAAATTTGGCAGTGAAGTAACACTGAGGTGATTGTAAAGTTGTGCTGTGCCCTTCTGAAAATCATTTCAGACTGGGCTGACTTATATATTGGGAGAATGTCTGTGGCACAACTTCTACATCACTTCCTACCTTCACCACTGAAATGGCATTAGACACAGAAAGAGGTCATCTAGTGTGGAGGTTCTGTCCTCTAACTGTTGTCCCTGGTTCTGGTCTCTTCCCTCTGCTGGTAAATGTATATACTCCACAACCCTTATTTGCTGAGACAGGCTCTCTGTCTCTATTAATAGGAGACAGACACGTATTATTCAAATCAAGCACATACCACTGTAGATGTGCAGCTATCTCAAGACTACTGTTTTGCCACATATAACAGAAAGCAGGTGTTTTCAGTTGTAGCTGGTTAACAGAAATAGAAGCAGTGTTCCTTTTTGCACTTTCCTTATCCCAACTGACTTTACCCCCAAGCTGTTTATTCTGCAAGGTGGATAGTAATGGTCTAGATCCAAACTTCTGAAACCTGAGTGAAATGTCCTTTCAGAGGTCATTTCTAAAAGGTGCAGCAGACATTAAGGAGAAAATGATACCAGAGGGCCTGTGAAGAAAACTGATATATATTTTTAATTGAGGATTTTTTTTTATTTATAGAAGTATTTTTACTGTACACTCTCTGAATATAATTCACCCTATACAGTCATCAAGAATAGTTATGAGTTTAACTAAATAGAAGTCAAATGATGAGAATCATTTCTCATGATTTTGCTTTCCAGAGCTATATTTGGAAGAGATTAGAGACCGAATAATAGAAGTTGATGTGGAGTGTCAGACAGATGCCTTTCTGGACAGACCACCCACCCCCCTCTTCATACCAGCCAAAACGGGAAGGGATGTGGACACGCAAATAGAAGAAGGAGAGGTATGATGCAAAGTTTGGTTCACAAGCACTGTTTAAAGATGTAACTTGTTTTCCATATGAAACAAGTTTCTTCAGGGAAATTGGGGCAGCAAGTACGGAGCAAGCAAGCAACTTCTACTGACAGGATCATTTTTGTTGGTGGTGGTTTGTTTGTTTGTTTTTAATCTGTCTCCATAGTCTGCTGTAGATTAACTGCAAAATGAAGGTAGGTGTTTACTGTTCTGCTGCTTTCAGCTAAGAATCATCATATTGAGAAATGTTCTTGCCCATAGAAAGAGCATCCAGGTTGAGAGGGGTTGGGGAGAAGGAGGTGAGCAGAAATAGGGTACATGAGAGCGCTCTGGCTCTCTCGGGCAGCCTCTGAAGCAACTGCAAGGGGCATGGGGTGTTGTGGGGTCTGAATGACCGTCTCGATTTCCTGCCAGCCCACCTGTCATGTAGCCCTCACCTGTGCTTGTACTTCCTGCCAGGGCTGGCAGGGGCCCCAGCTGCTCAGCTCAGCACTGCCTGGAGCACAGGTACCTTGCAGCTCCTCCTGTAATGCTGCACTGTGATGAGGGATTGTGACCAAGGGCCCTTGTCTCTCTTTCCCTGACTGCCCTGCTCAGTTGTTTGACTTTGACATTGAAGTGAAGCCAATGCTGGAAGTGTTGATAGGGAAGACCATTGAGCAATCCTTACTGGAAGTCATGGAGGAAGAAGAGCTGGCCAACCTGCAAGCGCATCAGCGTGCATATGGGGAGCTGCGTAATGCAGAGCTGGCTGAGGTGCAGCGTTTGGAAGAGCAGGAGAGGCGTTACAGCGAGGAGAAGGTAGGAATGACAAGGAGCAGAATGAGCCTGTGTGAAAGCTTGTGGTAAGAGAGAAAAAGGTTTCTATCACTGAAAACTAAGCTGTGAAATAAGTCAGCTTTGCACCAAAGGGTGCTGCCAGGTACTTGCACTGCCTCCAAGCAGTCAGGTGTCATCTGGCTGCCCATTGCAGTTAGCTCTGATGTAACTGCGTGATGCTGGTGTGCTGCCTTGGAGCAGGTGTGCTCCAGAGTCCCCAGGTCAAGAGGCCAAGCCCTGGAGCACCTTTCTCTGTACTCAATGCTGCTGTCATTCAAGGAGTTAGCTTAGAGAACTGAATGCATGCAGTGCTGAATATGCCTCTCAAGATCTCTAGGTATTAAGGGATCTATCTTAGTAGAATGCAGTAAATCATTAAGAAAAAGGACAAGTTTTTATTATTTGCTATTCATTAGTATCGTATTTTTAATGTTTTCTCACACCCCCTCAGTTTTATCCCATTCAGTTTAAGAAAAGATTAAAAACTGGAACAGTGAAAAGGAAATCCTGAACTAACCTCAGTTCACTCAAAAAGCTTAATCATCAACTCTATCTGCAATAGCAAAGCATTGTGTCATGAGATCAGTGTATGCTAAGATAGCAGAGAAGGATTTTGTCTGGCCATCTACAAAACCATTATTTCACAGGCTTATCAAAACCAGAAAAACAATACCAAAGGGATGTGTTTCTCTCTAGGCCTTGTAAATTTTGGCAGTCAATAGATTCAATACAAGTCTGCTTTCAAATCTTCTTTCATATGATGAATTTTTGCTAAAATAGAGGGCAAAAATACTGGCTACAGGCCACAAATATTACATCTGTATTTATTCCCTTGTTGATTCTATCTTTGTTTTATGGGTTCTATGCTGTGATCATTCTTCAAAATCTAGATCAAAGGAATGACAATTAAGGACCTGAAAGTTTTGTATACAATATTCTCTTGTCAGGAACGTCGCAAACGCCAGCGGATGGAAATGCTGAAAAAACAGAAAGAAACTACAGAGAAAATTGCAGCTCGGGCATTTGCTCAGCGTTACTTGGCTGATCTCATTCCATCAGTCTTCAACAATCTTCGTGAGAGTGGATATTTCTATGACCCTATAGAGAGAGGTTTGTATTTTTTTTTAATATATGAACTGAGTAATTGAACCACTGCCCAGACTACCACAAAGAATAGCTGCTGCCTCCAATGTGAGTCAGGAAGCCAAATGTGGAAATTGAGCATATCTTGCAAATGGAGGAGAATTATGGATCACTGTATACAAGGAGAATGATTTGAGGAAAACATAACTAAGAACTCTTTAGGCAGATGGACTGAACAGTTTTGACAGACCAGAGCCCAGATGTCAATGAAAGAAAAGCAAGAAATGTTATTATTCCATATTGCTCAAATAGTTATTTTTGCCTAGCTAGAATATGACTGTGCTTTTCACTTGTGCTTGCCTTTTGAGGGTGGCAACCCCCTTTGAAAAGCACTAAATTTGAGTACTTTGGCCCAGATCCAGAAAGATGAGAAAGCTTATCAGAAGAGGAAGCAGTTAAGACACCCGATATCTTCTGAGAGATTTAATCTGGCTCTTAAAAAGCAAGCATCTTCTAACAAGGATGTTCATCCTTTAATGATTGCAGCAAACAAAAAACAGCTGCAAAGATTCTCCCCTTCATTTTTTTTTTTTAAGATATTGAAACAGAATTCCTTCCATGGCTGATGACAGAAGTGGAAGGAGCGTTGGAGAAGAAAGTTCTGGGGAGGACAGTGCTTGACTGTAAGTTACAGAATCTGGAATGTAATCTGAGCTGCTTGATATTCCTAACTGTTTTTCCCTAGTCAAAACAAATATCGTATTTACAAGATCACTGTGAGCTAATGCAGCACATGTCATTTTAATAAGAACTTCAAGTGCAAACAAATCGCATTAGATTGCCCGTTCTGCAATTCACCCTTCGTATTTCTTTGCTTATGCCCAATCCCCCAGTGTTGAGTAAATACCATCTCAGTAAAAGGTATTGCGATTTTTGGGTTGCGATTGGGTTTTATGGAGGCAGGTACTACTTATGATATGCTGTTTGTGGCTGCATTCCCCCCTATACAGAAGCATAGAGAAAATCTTGGAAGATCCACTTTTAACCTATTTGAATGTAGAAACTCCTTAAGCTTCACTGTCCCTAAGAGCTGTGAACTGCAGGTGAAAGTTTCACAATCTGAAGAGGTTTTGTTTTCTTCCCATAGATGACCATTTCTCCCTTTATAGTCAAAACTCAACCTGTGAATTACCAATGAAGCTTTTCTTCAACACTTCTGCCTTTCTTCACTCATTCATTCTTGTTCATTCATTCATTCTTCATTTCTTCTTCAGCTGAATTGCTGAGTTAATTGTTTTGAAAGAGTTGTAACCTTGGCAGGGCCAGTGTGGGGAGAGTTACAAAGGATAAACAGCAAAAATAAAGAACAGCTGCTTTGCAGTTGCTTTTCAGAATGACAGAATCCTTTGGCCATGCCCATAGTTCCAGTATTTCCCACTGCCAAAAATGTCCTGCCATGTGCAGCCTGGCTAGTCCTTGTTTCTGGCATGGTGACCTGCTTGAGCAGTGACCAAACAATGCACGTGAACCTTTTTGAATGAATCCTTTCAGGTCAAACAGCTCATTTGGTTGAAACTGCTCTTTCATGTATTTTTTTCTTTTTTGGTGTTATTTCATTTTATTTGTCTGAAAATTAATTGATCAATAATACATAAAATCATATCAAATTACAATTTTTTCATGTTTGTTAATAATTGCTTTCTCTGTTTCCAGCTTTGATTTGTACAGTGGTTGGAAAACGCTTAGATGCCTTTAATCATAAACAACTGCCTGACCAGACAGAGGTTCGCCCTGAAGAGCCCGTGACAACGGCTGCAGCCTCGGAGCTGCCTGGTCTGACAGAAGGTGCCAGCCATCCAGCTGAACCGAAAGAGGTGACTGACCAACCTGTTGTTGAGGAACAAATTGTGCCTCACATCTCTCTCCAGTCAGAGGAATCAGATCAAGCAGAAAGGGAGGATTTTGTAAGTGAGGAACAAGAAGGTAAGTCATCAGGTAAATGAAGATAAATATCTTAGCCAAAGAAAGAGATTATTTCCTAATGATGTACAAGGACTGTGCCATAGCCATCGTAAAGGACAAACCCAAGCAACAGTTGAGCCTTAAAGCATGTTTTCCAAATGCTGACGTTGCCCACTTCACACTACAAAAATTGAGAGAGGTTGTTAATTTAATGAACTGCAGTGAAATTCTACCCCCTTCCACACGGTCCTTGCAAACCTGCATCAATTGATAAGCAGTGCTGTACCATTCCTCATGCTAGAAGAAGGACATTGAAAGCATCCTAATAACCTTGGCAAGTGTTTTGATCATATTTTCAGAACTAAGATTTCCTTGTTTTGCTTATATTGAAATGTGACTATTATGGCACTTTGATGAATCAAACTTTTTTTTTTTTTTTACCCTACTCATATTTCTGTCCTCTCCTGTCAGACTTGGTTGGGCATCTCAGCTGGCAAGGGGCAAAAAAGCTCTTCAGGTTGTCAGAGTTAGGTGCCACTGGGAATTACTGTGTGTACCAAGTCCTCCTCATCCTCCTTATCCCACAGCACTGCTGAGGGATTCAAGTCACATGCGAATCCAGCCTTAGTTTTGCTTCAAATCGCAGTTTCTTGATGAGCTGCTAGAAGGGCGTCAGACATGACTGGCAAAATGCACCTGTGCTGCTACACAGAGCTTATTATTTGCCAGCCAGCCTTCCCAGTGAGGCAAACTCACAAAAGTACAGCTGTGCCCCAGTGTGGAAACATTGTTTCCTTCCAGCTAAACCTGTGGCGAAAAGTGCCACCTTATCAAAACTGTCTTTTGCTACCTCTTCTCCTCACTGCAGAGGAAATCTATACTCACCTGGTAGGCTAATCGGAAAGTGAGACTTCAGAAAGGACCTCAGAGGAAACACATAGCTGCTCCACATCTCAATTCTAAAAAGGGATGCCCAGATTTTTTTCCTGGTCCATTCATACATCTGGCTCCAGAGGCATACCTGCCTTTCCTCATCCTGAGCTGGGACAGTGATGAGAACCAGTGCAGCTGCTGCTTATATGGAAAAGCTCTCTTGAAAAGTGTTGTGTATTCACCTGTCCCTTTAGATATCTGAAAAGCAGAAATAATGAAATGCCAATAACAAATAATCTACTTAGTAGTTTGAGCCACAGCAGATTTGAATATGTTAACTAGATGTTTATAGTCAGATAGTAAAGAATGTAAGTAAACAGACTCATGGTTACTATCTATAAATATTCTTCTAAGGTCCTCCTCTGTTTAGTAAATACTTGTTTTTTTCTTTTATCACTGATTGCTCAAAGCTTCCAGCAGTAAATTTTATGTGCTTGAAATTAAGATAACCACTGCTGTGTAACTTTGGGAGTTTCAAAGAATTTATTTTTATGTCATACAAGACTGTAAGTGAAGTCTTGAAGTGAAAATCTGATTTGGACATTGAAGTCAGTAGGAGATTTTCCTTCATTTCAGCTGGACCAAGACTTTATACTGTATTTGTTCTCGTGATAGAGACTCCTGTCATGATTTAGTATAAATCATTCTCTTCTAGCTAATTTTCTAGATATAAATAAATAAAAGGTGTTGGGGCATGGTTCATAATATCTGTAAGTGCTTCAGCTTTTTTCATGGAACTTAGTTTGACAGTTTTAAGAATCCCTCATTCCTGAGTGGGGATGTTTTCTCATATCTTTACAGGAGACGTACCTTAGCCTGGAAGACTTCCATGGATTGTTTTTTTTTAAAAAGATTCAAGAAAACAAATGCAGACTTGAATATTTGTTCTTTTGAAATGTTACAAGGGGGAAAAGTGGTCACCTGTAATATTTTCATGTTTGTCACTTCTGCTTTGTGTTTTATTGCTAAAAAGTTTACTTACTGTTGAATTATTCTCTTCAAATAGATTGGGGCATTAAATAATGCAAAGTGTATAAAATTATAATCTTAAATTATTGTAAAAAGAATTAACGAATTGCATGCACTGCATTTTTTTTACCTCATTAGAATTTCTGAATACAACCCATGCCTGTAAATTACATTATAATGTAATGGGTGTCCTTCTGGAAAAATAAAATTTTGTTTTTAAAAGGGGTTTTAATATAGTCTTTCTTTCCAGCCTGTGATTTGCAGTGATCCATCTTAATCTTTCACAGAGTAAAAGTGGACGAAAAGAAAGCCTTCATGTTGCACTTCTTTGATGGAAACACTGTCTTTAGTATATTATAATTTTGCATGTGTCTGTAGGATTAAGGCCCAAGCAAACAAACTTCTAGGAAGGTTCCTTAGAAATTCCATGAGTCTAGAGGCAACAATGCATCCTTCCAGGAGAACATTGTCCAGAAAGCACCTTGTAGCCTTGTATCTCTGAAACATTTTTGCAGTGACAACATAGTTCAGTTTAATAAAGGAGAGAAGGAATATGAATATAACAAATGTGCTAAACTTCATTCCTCTGCTTTTTTTTCCCCACTGATAATAGCCACTGGAAGGAAACAGGAAACTCCATACCTGCACACTTTGCATTGAGGACCAATCCAGTGGTAGTAAAAGTGGGAAAAACTCCCAAAGAATAGTCTACAAACACTGAATGTTAAATTACAACTGCTAAGGAACTTGGGAGTTATGTTTTGAAAAATTTTTGATTTCCTTTTTTTAAAAAAACGCAGTTTAGCAAAGCATGTTTCAAAACATGCTTTGCTTCAAATTCTGCAAATCTGAGCCTTTCAATTTAGTAAACCAATCTGCAGGGATATCTTCTGGGCCAGCTGTCCCTGGCTGCCTGGATCTGTCTCACAATCTTTTCTGCTGCATGGCTGGTCTGATCTCCCATGATATATGTCAATTTCTGCTACAGATCAGTGAAGATACCACTCCTTAACACTCCTCTAACCTAAGGTCATTTCTGGGGGCAGTGTCAGCAGTATTTCTTTCCCCAAATCAAATGCTCCAGTTGATAGTCTCCTTAAGTTGTGCCTCACAGAACCACAGAGGCTGTGGAAGGAGAAATATTAGCTGATGCTGTTCTTCTCAAGCTGAAAGTGTTCCAGCTCCATTTCCTGTTGATTGTTGTTGTCCACCACTACATGTGCTAGATTGTCCTGTAGTCACAGAATCTCTGTTGTTCAGGATGTCCTTTCCCCTGCTCAGTCTGCACTATCCAGTGCAAAGGTTACATCTCTGTCTTCTAGATTTTTTTGCACCTTTTGGCATCTTTGCCAAACTTAAAAAGGTTTCACTTGACTGTCCCCTGCCAAGTTCTGCAGCCAGCCCTGCTGGCAGGGACCTGCTGTCCTTAACTTCCTGCTTCCCCTTCACTGTGCTGCGGGGGATGTGAGGGGACAGGCAGAGGAGGCCTTGGCAGGTTCATCTGCCAGGGAGAAGCTGCATGCAGAAGTGTACAACAGCCCTGCAGCTGCTCCAAGATACCCTCATGGCCAAACACTGTTTTGGAAGCCCTAGCTAGGAGGAGAGATGAAAAGGGAGGGGAAGGGAAATTGTTCCCTCCCAAAGTGTTGTGGAGGGAACATTTGCTTCACTGGAGAGGCTGCCTGGGGAGGATACTCATGTCCAGACCCCTCTTCCTTTTCTTCTTGGCAGGCCTCTGCAGAGACCTTTTTCTTTTGTTTTGTCTTGCTCTTTTTATTCTCCATTTTCACCAAAGTAACTTTTATTGCAAGAGCTGATATATGCCACCAGCTGCAGACCCCAGAAAAAGTCCTGTGCCTATAAACCCGTCTCAGCATCCTCTGTGCAAAAACTGAGCTCGGCTGCTGAGCTGAGAGCAACACCTGGAAACCAGATGGAAACAGGAAAGTTTTGAACAGCCACTTTGGATAAAAACAAAGCTAGGGAGACTTGCTCTGTGTGTGTGGTACCATCTGGGGCTTCTTCTGACAAACACCCAAAGTTGGCATGACTTGAAGAGGCCTCAGCTCCTAAAAGTAAATAGCACTTAAATCCTCTGGGCTACAACCAGTCCTTTGGACATGGTGCAGTGCCCGAGTGAACAAGTGCCCCGTTCTGATGGTGCTAGAAAAAGTGCTAAAATTGCCTGCTCTTCTGGGAGAGAACATCTGTTTTTACAGAAGTGCTCATAATTCCTGTGCATGTTCAGGCTCTGGCTGGTGGTGCTGCTGGGAGCCAAAGAATTTTGCTGAGGGCCCAGGCAGGGTCTGTGCCACAAACAGAGCTGGGCTCTCACTCCCTGCATCGCTCTTCAGGGGGTGAGTGCATGTGTGCACATGCACCCTCTCACTTGCATGGTGTTTGCTCTGTGAAGCTCTGTGGATGACATCACATGGCAGGGAAATGTCATCTGCTGATCCCTTGGCAGGGACCCCAGAGTGAATGAGTATCCTGCGTAACATGTGAGATCAGCTCTGTGTGTGTTCACACATGCGCACAGTCAGCCAGTCTCTATTTGGGAAGAAATCGAGAACAGAAAACCTCCGGTTCTTGTGCTGGGTCCAATGAAAGCCTTGTGCCTCACAGAAACGATGCCTGCGGTGCTGATGGCCAGCAGAGTGCAGTGTCGCTGAGGAAATCCCACATTTGGCCGCTTTCATTCAGTCATTTGGTTATTCTTGAGGGACTCTCCTGTGTTTTACCTTCAATCCTAGTATTTGTGTCACTCCGAAGGGGCATTTCTGCTTATGTTAGCTAGCAAAGTGGGGGGATATCTCAAGGAGCATTTCCTGAGCTGCTGTGTGTAAATCAAGCACTGCAACTGCCACAGATACGCATGTCAGGAGGTTTCACAGTGACTGTTCAGGAACTGTATATTGAAGCAGTTGTATGCTCCAGAATAGAGGTGTGTCTACAT